AATTATTAGTTTGCCTTGCTCTCTAGGTAGGTAAAAAAATCATTTCCGGTGATAATTCTTATCATGGGCCAAGCTCCTAATTTAAATTCTTCCAGATAATTAAGGGAGGGGTGAGAAATAGAAGTTTCTCTCAAGCCTGCTGGGTCTTGGTGGCTTTTAGTCCAAAATAGGCCACATCCCACTGAGGCACATCTTGGGGTGGCTCGTTCTGAGCCCCTGCAGAGTCACACTCCAGAGCCAGGAGGACTGACGTCAAATCCAGACTCTAGAGTCATGAGCCCAGAAGGGTGTGCGCTGCCCAGCCCGGTTTGTGTTCCTTGGTGCTGCTAGCTGAGAATCAGACGTCAGCCTGTGTCTGGGGAGTGGCTTCTGCTTTCCTGAAGGTTTCCTTAGGCTGCATAGCAGTCCTGTGGATCAGGCATCATTATCTTCACTTTGTCCCTGAATAACCTGGAGCATGGAGAGGGTTGTGACCGGCCCAGGGACACAGTGCCAAGGAAGGACGTTTCCCTCTCTAAATGCAGGAGGAGATGCAGAACAACGTGGAGGTGGTCCACACCTACCGCCAGCACATCGTGAATGACATGAACCCCGGCAACCTGCACCTGTTCATCAACGCCTACAATAGGTACCGGCTGTTGCACGGCCATGCGACCGCCATTTATGTCAGGCTCCCCTCGTAGGCCTAGAACAAGGGGTGAGGGAGAGGCGAGGGAGATCATAATATCAGTAGAAGACCCAACCCCAGAATTTGAGCAAATAGAGTATTAGGATGGGGCTACCCCAAGGGCATCCAGGAAGCAAGGTGCCTCCTGGAGCTTAGAACGCTTTGCAAGGAACTGAGCTACCAGTTCAGACCACTGGGGATGCAGACACGAGTGGGATGCAGTCATGCTCTCAAAGGGTCATGAGTACGTACCTGCGCCCATGGCTGACCACAGGAAGGGGCAGATACGGGGAGAGTAAGAGAGAAAAGCATAGCACTGGGGGGATGAGAGGAACCCAGGGAGGCTGCTGGGAGGAGGCTGAGTTATTCCCCAGAAAAGGAACACCCGCACACAGCCGTTGGCAGGGGTGCAGCCCTCTTACCCATAACTAGGTGCCGGTCTGGAGCTCAGCTAGGGGAGGGGACAGCTCAGCGCCTCTGACAAAGCCCATGGGCCCTGTCACTCTCTCCTCCCATGTTAATGATGTGACTTCATGGAGTACTTTAGTGTCAGTAAGAAAGTCCAGTGCTCGTTTACTCTTGTCCTCCTCCCAGCCTCTCAGTGAGGGAGGGAGCAGTACTGTCCCCAGTGTGTGACTCAAGACACAGAGGCTGAGCAGTTCATGTGTCCAGCAGACACTTGCTGAGGATTAGAGTGGGTCAGGCTGCCTACTGGGCAGCAGGCACATGGAGGGGACTAGCAACTCCCCCCCAAACCCCACACACTGCTTTGCCCTCATGGAGAACATAGGCGCCAGCCGCTTCCTCCCAAAAACCCTGGGAGGAGGGTGCTATCATCACCATCATTTCCTGCTATGGAAATGAAGGCACAGAGAGGCTCAGCAGTCTGCCCAAGGACACACAGCCAAGAAGCTGAGGAATATGATTGAAATACAGCCCGTCTGGCTCCAGGCTATGAGCTGGAAAAGGGTGTCTCGTGTTGGGAGCTGCCAGGCAGCAAGAGTCTGGGTGTGTATGTGCAGGGGAGAGTTGTGGGGTGGCTGGGCAGACACGGGGCCGCACCAGACTACAGTGGGAAACCACTGCAGGGTTTGAAACCATCAGGTCTGAATTCTAGAGACCATTTTGGTTACTATATAGACCCGGAGATGGGGGCAGGAGTGAGACTCAGATTAAGGGTAGAGGCTGAGACCATTTGGGGGGCCGTCCATTGGTCAGGTGGGGGCCCTGAAAGGGACACGGGAAGTGGGGACCCCCTGTGGTGGAGGACATGATTTGTACTCCAGTTAAAAGGAAAAATTTTAAAAAAACCAAACAAACAAAAACAAAACGTTAGGGACCATGAGGTGGGCTCCATGGGAAATGTCCCTGAAACCACCTGTGTGGAGCCCAAGAGGGTGTGGTGTCCTGAAAGCCACGTGACTTTGCACAGGCTGACGTGTGGGTGGTTTGCTAGAACAGCGGATGGCAGGAATTCCCGGGCTGGGCTCAGTGGGAGGGGGCTTCATCCAGGGGAGGGTCTGCTGATGTAACGGTGCTTCTGTTGTCTGCAGCCGGCGGGACCTGGAGATTGAACGACCGATGGCCGGCTTGCACACAGGCACCCTGCAGTGAGTTGCTTTTTCTCCCCCTCACCATCTGGTTAGCCTCGCTCCAGTCTGGTTAGCCTCGCTCCCGCGTGCAGGCAGGGCCTTCTTTCAGTTCGGTAGGACGGCCCCGCATGTGCTAGGATATCAAATCAGCGAGTACGGGGTGTGGCCTATCCAGGGGGCTGGGTACTGCCCAATCTCACTTGTCATCTCCCTGGGCAGGTGCCCGGTTCCCAGGGTGGCCCCAAAAGCCTAGGTTGGAGCCTTGGATCTCAGGAAAGGAATGCTGACCACACTTTGGACAGCCTTTATTAAGCACCTACTATATGTCAAATTCTGTGTTCGCTGTACCCCGCAGAGCCTGGAGATGACTAAGGCACAGGACCCACCGAAATGCTCTATAAAACTAGGTGGAAAAGACAGTCTTGGATACAACCACCTGTGTTCCGCTAGTAAGCGACTGTGTCATTGTATAGTTCCTTGAGTGACTCGTATTATTTGACTCCTGGCCTTGGCACATGGCCTTTCCTTCATCAGGCATGATCTTTTTGTTCCTCATCTTGATTGCTGACAAAGCTCTACTCATCCTCCCTTGAGGAGAGGGTGCTTTAAAAATAAAAACACCAGGACATACACATTCTCTGGCTGAAATTCCTACTACGGTGTCAATGACCACCAACCCGTTTTATCCTAAGAACAAAGCAGAGGATGGAGGGAAGATGAAGTAAAAACAGCACAGGGTCTGGGGAAACCAAAATAAGTGGTCTTAGCACCGAGGCCGGCCTGGGAATGGGAGCATCTGTAAGGGAACCTGTGTTCACCCTCGCTTCTTTCCCTGACCCCAGGTGTCCTGCCTTGTTGGTGGTCGGGGACAGTTCTCCTGCCGTGGATGCTGTGGTATGTACAAATCAACCCCTGGGTTGTGTGCTTAATGCAGCAGTGCAACCTGGTTGGCTTTGTCCAGAGTTTCCCTGCCCACCTTCGTCCCCTCCTCTGCCTCCATCAGGGCAGGTGATGTCTTCTAAATGCCACATTGGCCTTTGGGCAGAGGGCTCGGCCACCAGCCTTTTCCCCGGGTGACTAGCAGCCCCGGTTGCTTGGCAGTGGGTCCTCGTCTCCTCTCCCGGCCCCCTTGCTGTCCAGCTGCCTCCCGTTGGCTTTTTTCTGAGTGTGTTTTCCACGCGGCTTCCTGGCCAAGACGCTGTCCTCCCATTTGGGAGACCTGGTTGGTGCTTGATTGTCTGGCAGGACAAGCGGCACCTGGGAGCTGGGCTTAAGCAAGGCTTTCTGGCTCCTTTCACCCCTTAAGTCCCTCCTGTGACATTGTGGAGGCTAAGCAAAGACTCTGCCTTTCCCATGTCCCCATAGCTGGGGACATGGGAGACTCGGGCTATTAAGCAGAGTCCTACAGTGGTTACCTGCCTGTGCTGGGGGCTGCAGAGCGGGATCTGCAAATGTTTATTTTAGTAAGTGGTTGACTTAGTGAATGTTGAGTGTCTTGTGATCTAACCCACTGGCACTAATCATAGGATGCAGCCACAGAGATATATTGTTCACACCAAGCAGGATGCTGGTTCCGCTGTCAGCACTTTCAATGTCACAGATTGCAAGCTGGTACTCTGCCTAGTTCTATGTGCACTTTTAAGAGGGTCATTGACAAACTGAAGAGAGACTCCAGCTTGATGGAGGTGATTTCATATGAAGAATAGTTGTTGGGACTGGCGACGTTGAACCTGTACAATCACTGGCCATTCATTTGGCAAATATTTCTAGAACATCTTCTGCATTTGAGGTATAACAACCCATTTAAAAAGACATTATCCCCATTTTATTGAAGAGGAAACTGAGGCTCAAAGATTTTTCCCAAGGTCACACAGCTAGTAATAGCAGGGCTGGGGTTTTAAGCCACATCTGTTTAATCCCAAAGCCCGTGTTCTTTCTTTTATGCCACAAGGAACACTGGGGCTTCTGATGACGGTGGCGGGGAAGGGAGCAAGGTTATGATGTTAGCTCTAGGAAGAAAATTAACAGACCTCTCCTCCCTTTCCTCATCCAGGTGGAGTGCAACTCTAAATTGGACCCAACAAAGACCACTCTCCTCAAGGTACAGGGGAAATGATGAGAGTTTACCTTCCTTCTTTCTGAGTAGCTCCTATGTTTTCTGTACACCTGAATTGTGCCTGGTGGAGGAAGAACTGGTGGTCAGAAACCACAGAAATAATTATTTAATGCGTCGGCTCACAAACATCTATCGGGAGCTGGCTGGTAACTCAAGGCTGCAAAGATGAGCGGGTCCCTCTCTGGGACCCCAGGAGTCTGTAGGCTGCAGCCTGAGCCCTTGGGATCTGACCTTGAGACTGGGCTGTAGGATACCCGGCCTTACCCACTCTCACTAACTCCTCCCAAAGCCATCCTCACCCCCTCCCCGTCCTGCTGCCCGGTTCTCCCGAACCTGGGCACTGCTCGTCTCCACTTCTGGGTAAATGCCCACACGTACCTGGAGTGGCTTTAGCTAAGGACTGATGGCTTTAGGTTTGGTGCTCTAGTAGGAACTTGGGGAGGTACCACATTTACCAAGGGCGGGCAGTCAGGAGCCCGTGTGGCCTGAGGTCTTGAGTCTAGCAGTTTCCGTCTGAGGGAATCTATAGAGAGAATGTGTGTACAGGGCCTAGTAGAGTGAACGCTTTCTAGTCAGACAGACCCTGGGGGAACCTTGCAAGTTCCTCAAGCTCTGTCTGACCCAGTTCCTGCCTCTCAAATGGGACAGTCATACCTTCCAGGGTTCTTGGGGCAACAGAGTGAAATGATCTGCCAGGGCTAGCAGAGTACCTGGCATATCAGAAGCTACAAGCCATGGTTGCCAAGAAAACACAGCTCGGTGCTGAGCCAGATAGTAGTGAAAGCAGCCTTGCTAGGTGAGATTGGGTGTTTCCCCACCCGCCATATGCCCAGTGCCCCCTCTGCAGGGCAGGGCAGTGGGCAGGGTGGGCACCCACTGGGAGCTGATTTAGAGTGAGGATCGCCTCAGCTGAGGTGTATGGCACTAACCGGCTTCCCTCTCTTCCAGATGGCGGATTGTGGTGGCCTCCCGCAGATCTCCCAGGTGGGTCCCACCTGTCACCACTCCCCTGGTGGCGGGATGTACCTCTGTCCTCTTACTGCCTTTTCCCTCACTGCCTGCTCGTCCCCCTGGCTGTGACATCTGATGGCACTTTGTGGGCATGTTACTGTTTATAAATGGTGCTTGCACACGAGGACTCATTTGATCCCCCAAAAACCCCTATGGTGTAGATGATACTGGGGCCCACAGGGGTGCAGGGGTCTGTGCAGTGGACACAGCTTGGTGATCATGGACCAGATCTAGGTGTGCCTAACTCCCAAAACCACAGGCCCGCCACGTGGTGCTACAGAGAGCTCTCGGTGTGGAAGGGGTCCGTTCTTTGATCAGTTTCATGTGGCCCTGCCAATTTCAAAGGTTGTCTGATAGCAAAGGGAGAGTTGGCTTTCAGTCCCCCAGTGAGTGGTTGATGGCATTGAGGTCCACCTGGGCACAGACTAAAATCTTAGCAGCTGGGCCAAGCTCTTGGTAGAAAACAGTCTTCCGTGTGGGGTAGTGAAGTGTGTCACCGGGCGTCTGAAGAAGAGGCCAAGTGGGCCTGGGGACAACCTGAGCAGTAGGTTTCTCCATCAGGCGGGTACTGGGTCTTAGCTGGTTGCTGTGCGTCCCATCTCACTGCAGGATTTTACTCCAAACTCTGCACAGAAATGTAGACACAGTGGCCTTTGGTGGCTCCCTTTAGCCTCTCTGTGCCTGTTTTCACGGGGCTGGCCTCTGCTCCCACTAGAAAAGAACAAAGATATTTTCCACATTTTATCTGCCCTGGTGTTTTGCCCATTTAATAGCTGGGAGTAGCCAGAGAAAAATGGGATGTCCCAGTCACCCGGGGGAACAGATGGGCTCCCAGTAGAGCCCTGCTCAGATGCGATTGTGAGTTACCTGCACGTTACTGATGGAGCCACTGACCCATCCAGCCTGCTTCTAAGACTCCTGCCAAGGCTGTGTGACGCCAGGGCCTTCCTTAGGTTGGCTGGGGAGAGGGGCCACCATGTTTCCTTCCACCTCCCTCCCTTCCTTTCTTCCTTTTCTCTACTTGAAATGAGAACAGACCTAACCCTAGCCATAACTGAAACATGGTTTAAATGTCATGATGGAGCTGAACTAGCCCAGGCTTCCAGGAGACGAGCCCAGGGAGGACCCATTGCTGTGTAATCTGCCTCCTTCCCTCACAGGTTGGGCATATGTTTACCAAAGGGTGTCCCCACCCTTCGTTCCATTTGATCCTTGCAACACTCCTTAGAGATAGAAGAGCCCGCGTTTTATCAAGAGTGTCGCACAAGAGGAAAGTGAGGCTAAGAGATGGGAGAGGCGGCCCATGGTCTCCTGGGAGAGCTGAAATGGGGCCCAGGTATTGCCTTCCCAGTCTTGTTGCCTCATTGAACACAGACCTTCCTGGCTCTCCGCAGCCCCAACTGGCAACTCTTGTCACTTTCTTACCATTGTCACACAAACCCCAGAGGGCAATTTGGTCACAGCCTCCCTTTTAAATGTCATTTGGCCCTTTGCAGAATAGTAGCAGGAGTGGGTCGAGGTGGGTGGGGACACTGCTTCCGCTGATGATTTCTTAGGGAGAAATGAGATAGAGGAGAATACACCCAGGGCAACAACGCATTTGAGGGTTGGAGTTAGACTGTGAACATGGCCTTTACTTGAGCCTTCACTCCGAGTTTAAATTGAATGTTTGAGAATAAGTGGTAGACGTGGATGTTGTTCTCAGCATTCCCAACTCATTTCACTCAAAGTAGCCCAGTTGATTGATTAATTGATTTATCTGTCTAGCTATCTATCTGTCCATTCATCTAGCCTTCTTTCCATTTCTTTCCATCCATCCATCTACCCATCCACCCACCCACCCACCTACTCACCTACTTTCTTTTCCTTTCCATCTGTCTATCCACCCACCATCCTTCCTTCCTTCCATCCAGCCAGCCAGCCTGCTGTGGAGGCTGAAAGTGAACTGCCTGAGAGCACGGGGTTTGGAAATCCCTGGGTTAACCTGCAGGACCCAGCACTGATTAACTGTAGGACCTTGGGTGGGTTATTTATCTCTCCAAGTCTGCTCAGCTATGAAATGTCTATGAAAATGGTGCGAACCTTGTAAGGTTGTTGTCAGGAAAAAATGAGATAATGCTGCAAAAAGCTCTTAGCACAGTGAGTGGCATATGATGTTGACACCGTTTCATCGTAGATGCTTCTTTGGACACATCACTTAATCTAATGTAATCTTCATAGAAACTCTCAGAAGTAGGTGTGGCACTCTGTCCATATCTTACAGATGCAGAAATTGGCTCAGCCAAGTCATGTAACTTGACCAAGCTCCCTCAGCTCCAAAATGAATTTAAACGTTTTCTCTGCAGCCAGAGCTAATTTCAGTCTCTATAATGACTCCATAATCTTTCATTTACTTTTGTGTATTGTCCTATCAACACATGGTGGCCTTCTCTCTTGGGCTTTGCTCTTTCATGAAGGTGACCACGTGCACAGTGCTGTATGGCCATTCAGGATCTAGACCTCCGGCGACTGACTGCACTGTCCCTCCTTTTCTCTTGCAGCCAGCCAAGCTTGCCGAGGCCTTCAAGTACTTCGTGCAGGGCATGGGATACAGTAAGTATGGCCTTTCCCAGCAGGTGCTGGGCTGAGGGGCAAGTGTGGGAACTGGGAATGCGATGCCCTGAACCGGGTTTGAATGAGCACTCTGTATTCACACCTGGGAATATTTTTAGATTTGGGTGAGGACTGTCCCTTTAAGCACCATGGAGACAACAAACAATGAAATCATGGAAATCTTTTAATTTTTTTTTTTTTAAGATTTTATTGGGAAATTGTGGGAGGGGAACAGCGTTGGGGAATCGGGGAAGGGGAACAGACAAGTTGCCGTCCTTTTGTTCTTCAGTCTAGTTGTGTAGGACAAATCTTTTAAATTTTGATTACATGCTTTCCTAAAAGACTTCTAGTTGTAATGATGATGGTGATGATGGTGATGATGATGGTGGTGATGGTGATGATGATGGTTGATGGTGATGCTGAAAGATTATTAATAAATCCTTTATTTTTTTCTCATTTAACCATCGCAATAATCCTATGAAATACTCTTATCCTTATTTTACAAACGATGGAACTGAGGCTTTAGAGATTAAGCAAAGAGCAGAGTGGGGATCTGTGAGAATTCTTTGAGAGCTGTAAAGCTCAGAGTAAGTGGGTGATAAAGTTGCTTATATTCCAGACAGAGGGCGTCTTCACTAAATCATTCGATTTGGGAGTTGAAGGATAAACAGCAGCATAATTGAAGAACTTGCTGCTGCTTGTGTTATAGTTATAGTTTATCATTAGACACAGCCCTTTTTCAGAAATACAGTCCCATGACCTGGACAGACAATGCCAAGCTGAAGCACTCTGTTGGGTATCGGCCACAGTTGGCACTTGCTGATAATGTCAGCCATGGTTCTGGCCCGAATGTGGTTCTTTTGGCTCTTTCTGTGTATGTCTTAGAATTATCATTTATGTGCCCATCTTAACTAGGAAGTCTCTGTACTTCCAATCTCTTTCACTTTTTTTTTTTTTGAGACTTAAACTCTTTGGTCATTTAAAATAGTAACGGTGTGCTTGATAAACAGACCACAGTCTTAAAATTGCCCTCAGCCATGTTTAATTTCTAGCAAGGCCTGGAGTGGATGGGCCTGATTTATACACTTTGGGCAGGATCCGTGTCCCCAAGGGCCCTCTTCCAACAGGAGTCATCCGCCTGTGGCTCTTCTGTCTCTCGAGCTGCTTTCCCTGCGGGAAAGTGTGCGAGCAAAGGCAGTGACAACACAGCCGCTGGACAGCCCGCGTCTATCGACCAGGGCGTGACTCTCAACTCATGTGCCTTGGCCTCCCCTGGGTGTGGACTTCTGCTTTGAAAGTGTATTTTGGGGAGAAAGGAAGCGAAAGGCAGGCCTTATTTATTCCCCCACATCAGCTGAAGGATCCTGCAGGTTAAGGGGAAGACAGCAGGAAGAGCTTGAGTCCCAGAGGCACCAACCAAAGGGAAAGAAAGTGATCATTTACTGAGCGTGTACTCAAGATGGCAGACCAGGCAGGCCTAGCCCTTTGCATCCATGACACCGTCCTATAGTTGAGAATGGAATTCAGTACAGCAGTGATTAATTCTCTGTGTGAGAGCCCGCCTCAGAAAGCCAGCCATGTCCCCACTGCATGAATGATGTCACCCTACGTGTCTGAGTATAGTTCAGCTGCCATGGTGTGTGGCGTCCGTTATTCAATGTGGCCTTTGCAGCGAGGCTTCAATTAGCTGATGTATTGTCACTGTGACTGCAGTGACACGAATCCCCACAAACGGGGTGGCTTAAAAAAATAGAAATGGACCCTCTCACAGGACTGCGCTCCTAGTGGCTAGAGGTCCAAAATCAGGAAGAGGGCAGCGCTGTGCCCCCTCCGAAGGTTCTAGAAGATTCCCTCCTTGCCTCTTCCCAGCTTCTGGTATCAGTGGCAGCCTTTGGTGTTAGTTGGCTTGTAGCTGTATCACTCAGATCTCTGCCTCCATCTCCACACAGTCTTCTCTGTGTGTTCTCTTCTTGTAAGGACACCAACCACTGCATTAGAGGTCACCCTACTCCACTGTGACTTCATCTTAACTTAATACATCTGCAAAGACCCTTCCCAAATAAGGCTACATTCTGAGGTCCCAGTGCATGTGAATTTTGGGAAGACACTAGTCAACCCAATACAGCTTGGGGGACCATTTTGTCTTCATCCTACTTTATCAGCCACCTGCCACGTGCAAGGGCATTTTAAACCCCAAAGAATGGACAGTGCCCTTGATAGTTCCTGGGAGCCCACAGGCTCCTCAGAAAGAGACAACACTATGGCTGTGCCACCAACGTGCTGTGTGGCCTCGGTTTTCCCACCTGTGCCAGGCAGGGATTTGGCGGAGCAGGGATGGAGACCAGCTCTGGGTTCTAGCCACTGTGTGAGTGCAGCAAGTCCTCACCCCACCTGGGCCTCGCTGTCCACCTCTGTGAGTGGATACAGGGACGATGAGGAGCCTGATAGCTGGATTACCGTGAGCATGGCTGGGACGCATAGGTGCTCAGCCAGGTCGGGCACAGAGAAGGCACCATTGCTTCTGCCCATCCCTTCACTGGTCTCTCCTCTGTCCCCAGTGCCCTCTGCCAGCATGACCCGCCTGATGCGTTCCCGCACAGCCTCGGGCTCCAGCGTCACATCGCTGGAGGGTTCTCGGAGCCGTTCCCACACCAGCGAGGGCAACCGGAGCCGCTCTCACACCAGCGAGGGCAACCGCAGCCGCTCCCACACCAGCGAGGGCGCCCGCCTGGACATCACCCCCAACTCCGGTGCCAGTGGGAACAGCGCTGGGCCGAAGTCCATGGAGGTGTTCTGCTAGGCGGCCCGCGTGGACAGCCGCCCTCTGGACTCTGGGGTTGCTGCCACTGCCCTCTCCTCCAGCCCCTCCCCCCCTGCCTGCCACGCCGCACGTAACTCGGTATTAACCCAAAGCTTGTTTTGTAAGAGTGAGCTCTGGTGATGACAAAGTAAGATGGGGTTTGTCGAGGGCGCCCTTCCCCAGGGCAGGGCAGGTGGGCCAAAGAAAAAGAAGCATCTCGGTATCTTGTTTCCATGAACAGGTGGCCTAGTGGCCACTCTCTCACCAGCCCTCAGAGACGCCAGACTGTCAAAAACAAGAAACACGGCAGCCAACACTTAATAAATCCAAGCCTTAGGCTGACCTGGGCATCCTGGTTCCAAGGGGCATTTTGTCGGAAGCCCGGCCCACCTACTTCCTGTTTCCTCTCCAACTAAAGAAAAACTGACCGTTTTGTTTCTGGAAACAACCCTCATGTCTGATGTGGGGAGGACGAGAGCAGTGAATCATGGGTTACTCTTTTTACTAGGTAAGACGGGAAGCAGGAGAAAGGTGGAAGGTATGTGGAGACGAGAGGAACTTGGAAAAGCAAATCCACGCAGTTAACTTGAAATGGGTTTTAAAGTTGGTGCACGTGTGCCCTTGGTAATGCCGAAGCATACAAGCCTGCCTTTCTGGCTTTTTTTTTTTTTTTTTAATGGACACAAAAGCTGGCAACAAAAGCTGGCTTTGCAAAGACATGGTCTCGGCAAACATTTGGTATCGCGGATTTAAGGCTTTGGCTCTGCTCTCTGCCTCTTTCTCCACAGCCCCTGTCTCCCAACCCAAATACACAAATGAGGGATTGTTTCATTCCTGGGGAAGATCACTTAGATGGGTAGTTGCTTTCCTTACAATGGAGGTACATTCCGAACAGCTGTACCCGGCTGTGATGCGGCTCCTTGCAGTGGTGGGGGGCAGGGTTGTTGGGTGGGGGTGGGGTTTGGGTACTTGATGTAAGAGATCCCTGTGGTCCTGAGGGGATCCAGTGCAGTTGTGATTTTAGCTGATCCCATCCTGGCTCCCAGGAATCATCCATGATTGTGTTAAATCCAGCGTCCAATCTTTGACAGCTGGGGTTGAATCTGAGCTTGATGGCCCAACATTCCTGACCAGGTAGCATTCCTGCATCTTCAGATAGAACTGTTTGCTCTTGTACAGGGTGGGGATTCAGGTGGGGCGTGGTGGCTGAGAATATATAAGGATTCTGGAATGTGTATTCCATGCTCTTTCTTTCCCTACCCCCCACCCCCGCCCCTCTAACCTCCTTTCTCTGAATGGGGCGGCACCACTGACATTTGGGGGCAACGTCAGCCTTGCTGTCAAGTTCCTGTACTACTGCCTTTCGATTTTTCATTTTGGCTAACCATGGATCTTATAGGAAGTTCGATCAGAGTGAATGGAACATTGTGAATCAGCTGCTGGGACCTAGTGGTTTCTGGGACCTTAGAGTTGGTAGAAGGGTGTGTAGTCAAGCCTTCTCAGGAGCTTGAGGGGTAATGACTCAGCTGACCTGCCACGGACTCCCTGAGATGCTCCCCCTGACATTGTGCAGAAAGGTCAGGGATCAGGGCAGGAGTAGCTGAATCGAGACAGGAAACTGTTGTGGACAAGTCTTTCCAGAGGAGTTTCTTAATGAGATATTTGTATTTATTTCCAGACCAATAAATTTGTAACTTTGCAGTGGCTTGTGTCTTTCGTTCTACTGAGAGATCGTGCGTGTGGCATTGCAGTATAGGGACGGGTCTGTCCTTACCTGGGGCCTCCTGCCACATGCCCCTTACCTTTGTTTTAGAGGATCGGTGCCCAATACAAATATAATGTGAGCCAGAGATGTAACTTCAGATTTCCTAGTAGCCTCATTAAGATAGAAACCAGTGAAATTAATTTTAATTATGCATTTCATTTAACCCAACGTATCCCAAAATGGGACCATTTCAACATAGAATCAGTCTTTTTTCTTTTTTTTAATAGCATGATTTTTTTTTAAACTTTATTGGGGAACAGTGTGTTTTTCCCATGACCCATCAGCTTGAAGTTGTTGTCCTTCAACTTAGTTGCGGGGGGCACAGCTCACCGGCCCATGTGGGGATCGAACCAGCAACCCTGTTGCTCAGAGCTTGTGCTCTAACCAACTGAGCCACCAGCCTCCCCACATTCTTTTTCTTCATATTAAGAAAACCAGTGTGTATTTTACATCACACCACATCTCAATTTAGATCGGCCCCATTTCAAGTGCCTAGTAGCTCGGACAGCACAGTGACAACGGGATAAAGCTCTTCAACCTATAATTACAGGGAAATATCTTTTTTTTACACTTTATTTTTGTTATAGAAATGTATGTAGACAGACTACCCCTTTTCTCATACCCAATGACAATCACTGTAATGCTTGTTTCTACTGGAAAAAAAAATGTAAGCACAGTAGGTTTTAGTATAACCTCCCATTTCTGTTTAAACTTTTTTTTTTAAGCATTCTTTTTTTTTTTAAAGATTTTTATTGGGGAATTGGGGGGATGGGAACAGCACTGGGGAATTGGGGGAAAGGGAACAGACAATTTGCTGTCGTTTTGTTCTTCAGTCTAGTTGTGGAGGACATTGCTTCACTGGCCCATGTTGGCACCATCATTGCGCTCTTCCCGGGCGAGGCAGATCAGTCGCCGGCTTCTGGATGGCCGCTCACGCTGGCTGCTGGCTACACACGGTAGCCCATGGCAACCCACTGCCACAGGGGCTGCAGCCTATGCCGTCGCTGGCGACTCACAGCAGCCCAGCTCCAGGTTGAGCTGTTGTTCAGCCTCTTAGCTGTGGAGGGCAGTGTCACTGGCCCTCATACGTGGGATCCGAACCGGGGCCCTCTGGTCTCCCAAGCCAGTTCTTAACCATCGCGCCACTCAGCCGGCCCCTAAACTTTTTTTTTTTTTTTAAGATTTTATTGGGGAATTGGGGGAGGGGGACAGACAAGCTGCTGTCCCCCTGTTCTCCAGTCCAGCCATGGAGGACGTGGCTTCACTGGCCCATGTTGCATTTATCATTGTGCTCCTCCCAGGTGAGTCAGTCACTCGCCAGCCATTGGACGGTGGCTCAGGAAAGCTCACGCCCGTTGCCGGCCAGCCCCACTGCAGCCTACACCGTTGCCAGTGACTCATGGCAGTCCAGCTCCAGGTCGATGTGTTGTTCACCATCTTAGCTGTCGAGGGCACAGCATCACCGGCCCACATGTGGCATCTGAACCGGAGCCCTGCCACCCAGAGCTGGTGTCCCAAGCCAACTGTCAACCAACGCGCCACTCGGCCAGCCCTCTATTTAAACGTAATCTAAGATTAGTTTAAAATGAACAAAACAGTTGCAAAGATAGTACAGAGAGCTCCCTATACCCCACACCCAGTTCCTCTTAGTAACATTTTACGTTATTATGGTACATAGGTCACAATTACGAAATCAAGGTTGATACATTATTATTAACCAAGCACCATACTTGACTGGGGTTCCATTAGTTTTTTTCCTGTTGTCCTTTTTCTGTCCCCTCCAGGACACCACAGTACATGCCATCATGCCTCCTTAGCTTCGTCTGGTCTATAACAGCTTCTCACACTTAATTTTGATGACCTTGACCATCTTGAGGAGCACTGGTCAGGAATTTTGTAGACTGTCCCCCAATTGAAATCCAGATGATGTTTTCTCATGGTTCAATTGGAGTTTTGAGTCTTTGGGATGAAGAAAGGCCACAGAGGTGAAGTGCCGTTCTCATCACATTATGCTGTGTCAGCGGGACGGGCTGCCGTGACCTATCACTGACGAGCTTAACCTTGATCACCTGGCTCAGGGCGAGTTTGCCAGGTTTCTCCACTGCCCAGTTACCTTGTCTGCTTTCCCATACTCCTTTCAAAGCAAGATCCACGCTTCAGACTGCCACCACCTTCTTCCACAGCAATCATGCTATTTATATTGGTTTTCTTTACTTGCCTTGAAAAGCGTCTTGGCGTGTGCAATTAACTATAAACACTTTCAAGGTCTGAGTCACAGGGCAGCAAGCGGCTGTGCCCTCTTGTTTAGGAAACAGATTTGGAATAACGAGGAGTTAGCTCAGCATAGAAGGGGGAGAAGGCGTTCCCAGCTGAGGGGCCAGTGTGGACACACCAGCACGCAGGATGGAAAGTGGGTGCCTCTGTGAGAAACCTATGACACAGACCCGGGTAGGTGACTGTGTATGCTGTGCGTGGCAGGAAGAGTTTTAGATGCGAACAATAAGATGTATAAGATTACAAAAGAAACCACTTAGAGTGAAGTAGAACTGTCCAAGTGTTACAGCCGTATGCCGTAGTAAAATGTACTTCTTAATAAGTTAAATAGTAATGTGAAGGAGGCAGGCCTCAATATAATTTCGAAGTAACGATGAGCATAATATCTTGGACATATGCCACAATCGTGCTACAAAAACCATGTGGTGTCATAACTGGTGATATTAGGATTTGCTGCCTACATTGAGATAGGAAAATGCCACATTGCAATTGGAGGTTAGTATAGTAAACACAAAGATGCATTTTTTCCCCCATCCAAGTACGTGGCCCCTGAATTCTATCTGTGGATTCTTGGTCTGAGAACCCCAGGTTCAGAAGCCCCACTTCCGGTGCTGGGGAAGGGGCACGTAGGCTCATACTTATTTAACATTCTCAGTAAGTGCCTTTTCTGTGCGAGAGTCAGAATAAAGAAAGGCAGGTGATGAAAGAGCCAGAAAGTCATCATCAGAGCAGTGGGTGCATATATCAGCTTTTAGGGAGGGGGTGGTACAGACAGGGACCCACTGGACTTGTCACCGTCAGCTCCCTGGAGTTCAGACTTCCACCAAGGGTGTGCATTGTTATAGGTGGTTGCAGGTGTGGGATGCTATTTAGAGACGCTATGGGGAGAGGCTCTTTCGCCAGCTGGGGATCTATTTCTGTTCTAGCTGCTTGTTTTGGTTTCGATGCCCTGACACATGGGTCTCAGCTGGGAAACCAAGTGTATATTGAGATCCAGCACCTGCAGGATCTGTAGGGACAGCCGAGGCCCCCATCTGCCTGCCACCTTGCTCATGGCCCCTTCTCAGACACAGCCTCAGTTTGAGTCATTGGATTGATTCCTACACGCAGCCACAATCCATCTAGTTCTAGTACATATTTGTCTTGGGCTTCCCAGGCTGCATGGAAACCTTTCAACTGTGTCCCACAGGGAACCCAAGGGCAGAAAGTGAAGCGTGGCTTTATCGAGTTGGAGACGGGATTAAGGAGGGGTCCTCGCCAGCCAATCAGCATCGTTCTCAGGTCAGCCTTCCCTGCATCTCCAAAACACAATGGCGGTCCTAACCCGAAGGCTACAAGACCTTCCATTCTTGGACCCAGAACCAATCAGGTCTTTGTGCTCCTTAAGGGGAAGAATCTAATTGGTCCTCAGTTGTCCACTTGCTAGCCAATCAGTTGTGACTGAGTTCACTCTACTCTCACCCTCTCTCCCACTTACAGGCAGCAGGGGCTCCCAGTAATTGGTGTAGCTGTGGCAGGTGAATTGCTATGTTCTTTGCGGAATTAAACCCATTGACAGTCAAACTCCCTGTGGCAAAATAGGCCCTTTCTCATCTCTACTCTGAGAAGTGTTTTCTGAATGCCCCTCCCTCTCCGGGAAGCACTGACCATGTGACAACAGCACCCTGCAGCGATGGACTCAGTAGTATATTCTGCATTGCTAAGGTGCACCACCTTACGTTTGCTTTTTCCCATCACTAGCATTTCTTTTGTCTGCCCAGGGCCTGCACAAGTGTCCAGCACATACCATACTTCCCCATGTATAAGACACATTCTTTTTCGAAAAATTTGGGGTCTAAAAACTGGGTGCGTCTTATACAGTGGTTGCAGATTTTTTTACTTGCATTTGACAGTGATGAGGAGTCTTATGAATTTTATGATGAATAAAACTGGAGTTCAATAACTTTATGTAATACATATTTTTTCAAATTTCGGGCCCTGAAATTAAGGTGCGTCTTATACATGGGGGCATCTTATGTATATATGGGGAAATACGGTAATAAGAGGTTTTTGTTTTGTTTTTTTTAAAGGTTTTTTTTTTATTGGATTGGGGGGATGGGAACAGCGCTGGGGAGTTGGGGGAAGGGGAACAGACAAGTTGCTGTCCTTTTGTTCTTCAGTCTAGTTGTGGAGGACGTTGCTTCACTGGCCCAAGTTGACACCATCATTGCGCTCTTCCCGTGTGAGGCAGATCAGTCGCCGGCTTCTGGACGGCCGCTCACTGCGGCTGCTGGCCGCTCACGCTGGCTGCTGGCTACACACGGTAGCCCATGGCAACCCACTGCCACAGGGGCTGCAGCCTACGCCGTCGCCAGCGACTCACGGCAGCCCAGCTCCAGGTTGAGCTGCTGTTCAGCATCTTAGCTGTAGAGGGCAGTGTCACTGGCCCTCATATGTGGGATCCGAACCGGGGCCCTTTGGCATCCCAAGCGAGTTCTTAACCATCATGCAACTCCGCCTGCCCGAGGTTTTTGTTAAATAAACACTTCCTCTAATAATAGTAATATGTAGCACCTGTTATCTGTCTTTTCTCTTTATCTGGGCAACCGAGTTATCCTTGCTTCCTAGATAAGACATCCAAGGCTCAAGAGATTAAGTGGCTTGTCCAGCCATTTCTAAAATG